GAAATGAGTGATTCAAAATTTTCACGACGATATTAAAAATAATTTCGATCTATTTGAAGGTAAATAAATAAGGAGGCAAATGTATCACAGTTAAAAAATTCTTCTGTTACAAATCAGAATTCAAAACAAAATAGCTACTTATTAAAATAAAAAAAATTACAAAATGGTTATCAAGAATATAGTGATTCACACATTACATGCTGCAATTAAAGATATTTGAGTTGCACAGAAATTTATAGCACCGTAACTCATAACAGCATTTCAAAATATATCTTAAGAAATAAAAAAAAAACCTTTATACAAACACATTGATATCATAGCCACACTAAAAATTTGACTGAATAGAAGATTTTTATTTATTATGATTCTTATAATTAAGTTTCCTAAGAAGTTCTGAAAACAATTAGGAAAATTTGTTACATGTTTCATTTATACAAGGGACAGTGGGGGAAAAAAAACTGCATACACTTCTTAAAAATATTTCACAAATCAAAATATTACAGTAACCAATCTGGTTTGAAACACTTCTGTTGAGTTCATACAACATGAAAATACAAAGGCTGTTTAAGGTTATCCTCTTAATTGAATACAATATAAAATAAACTATAATATTGCATAAAATATTGACTGAAAAGTAACTTCATATCTGGAAATGGATTACACAACTTAGTCAACCCAATAAAATGTTTACTACATTTAGCAGAATGCAATTTAAATACATTTTACTGCCATTCAAATTTTATCACTGAGCTTTATTATAGGTCCTGACACAAATCTATAAAAAATTGAACACAAAAATCCAAAAAGTAATAAGCATAATTTTGCCAGAGTAAACCGCCATATACTAAGTACCAGTAGCTTTGATGATAGGCTTTCACTTGGAGTAGCACATGAAAAGAACGTTTTCGTAGTAAAGAGTTCAGAAATGCCAGACAGTGGAAAACAGGTAATTTTTACACCGTTAAACATAAATTATTACACTCTACAACTACAATAAAAGATTGTGTCACATTCAATACCTTTGAAATACTATTAATATTAAAGCTATATAAATCCAAGTCAATTGATGAGGAATTCATTTTAAGCAAATCAACCGTAGTTATATAAATGCAAAATAAATAAACAAAAAAAGGGGGCAAATTTTGAATGTTCTACCTACATGTTATCTATTACTTCACATTTGTTTCAATTATATTCAAATTGAAAGATTTATTCATAATTAGAAAAGATGCTAGAATATATAAAAGCAATTCTAATATAAAATATAAGTAAATGGTGACAATTGAAAGCAGGATTTAGTCTTACAAATTATCATTAATAACTTTCTTATTGCATAAGAAAAACCTAACAATATTTGATTAGTAATCTATAAATAGCAAATTTAAAGAATTTTAATAATCACTATGAAAATATCTAAACAGAAATAAAAATAAAATTGGTAGAAACCAAGTAGGTAAAAAGTTTTTCACTACAAGCTACATAGGCCAGTTGAAGTGAGAATTGTGAAACGACTGCTAATATCAACACAAAAATAAAATAAAATTAGAAATTTTTTTACTGCCTGCAAGTTCACCCACTATTGAGCAAGAAAGCAGAGAGGAGAACGACTTAACAAGAAACCTTAAAGAATGGAAAAGCACAATCAAGCAATCTGAATAATTTGCTTTCATTATACTGATCATTTTCAGATGCTAAAATTAAACTACAAATTCTTATCTCCTATCATAATTCATAATGGAAAACACATTTAATCAGATTTGAACACCAACATGGTATCTCAAAATTTCCTGAATTTTAGCATTATCATGTACAATTGAGAAAATAGTAAGTGACTTCAAATTCATGACATACCACCACAAGTGCATAATGGCACCATTGAACTTCTTAAAAGAATTTAGTTCAATAAACCATTAGTCAAAAGCTATAAACTATCAACAATTTCTGTATTCCCTTAAAAATATGTCTCAAAATAAATGTCTAGAATACAGCAAAAAAAAAATTTTTTTTTTTTTAAACAACACCCACACAAGTTTGAAAACTTAGTCAAGAAAAATCTGGCAAAAATAAGTAAGAAAAGAAAATTTGGAGTGCCAAGTTTGCAGATTCAAAAAAGCTCTGAGACAGAAATTGCTGTTCATGTCCAGTAAGGAGAGAACAGTTTATAAATGTTATAAGATGACGGAGCAGTAAGAAAAATGAGTTGCCCCAGAAAGAACTTGCATTTAGTTCAATTTTGTAATGCAAAAAATCAAAAAGCAATACAGAAGAGCTCAATACAGATGCAAATCAGGCATATAATCCATCAATTACAATTATGAGACTACATTAGATCAAAAAAGGAGATAATTTCTAAAAAAAGAACATTTCATGTATAAAAAAAGTTAAAGCAGCAGATCAATTTAAGTTCATAAGATAAGGAAAACTCTCAGCAAAATATTAGTTCTGACAAATAAAAAATAAATTGAAAAAAATTGAGCAGCTTACTTATTGCTATTAAGGCTTTTTTTTTTTATTCAAAGACCATGACATTTTTCTTGTCAAAGACCACAAGGCAATTTGACTCATTTTTTTTTCCTTCCTCCTCTGGAGATGAGTTATGGGGCAGAACACCCAAACAAACTATACTTTCAAACTAGGAAGGCATATTTTAATCTGTCAGCAATTTTCAAATGAATAAATTACTGAGCAAGGTTTACAACAATTTTCATTTATACTTTTAAGGCAGGGCTTAATAAACAAGAAATAAATAGTGCTAAAAATATAGAGAGAGGGGAAAGTGAATGAACAAAAAATTGTTTTAGTTCACAGATAAGATATTTAATAGGTTCATTACTTTACTCTCCATAGCCAAGTCTCATATAAGGGATGCAACCATTATGGGCTAATATTTCCGGAAAATCGTATAATTTATTGCAAAAAAAAAAAAAAGTCAGAAGTTTTAAGTTCCATGAAACTTAAAAACAAAACTTCAATTAAAATAGGCAATAATTACCAAGATAAGCTTATTACTAATGTTCAAAATATATTCAATAGATGCCTACAATTTTTAGTAAGAATTCAATATGTGCATTTTTCCAAAAAGGCAGAATGTTTTCTAAATTTTAACTAAATATGATATACATAACTTAGAAAAGGTTCTTATGCTTCTGGTTCACAAGACGTAATTAAAATTACTCACAAAATGAGAAATGGACCTTACTTCAGTAAAAAAAAAGTGTACTAACAGAATAGCAAGTTAATGCCAAATACAAAGAACACCTTTCAAAAATTACTGAATTCAGTATACTGAAAAATCACATAACTGCTAAACTGAATAAAACCCCTCATTAAAGGGAAAGTACAATGCTTGATCAAATGCTTAAAATTTGATGTATTCAAGCAGTAAAATTCTATTTGTAGTATGAACACGCAAATTAAAAACACAAGAGTGAATCTGCCACATATGGCTTCTTAAAAAGTACTTAAATTAGAAACATCTGTATTTCCGAGATGTTAAAGAAATGATAGATGAAGATTGAGGATCAGTAGCTTAAAAATAAATATCAATGCTGAGTTAACCAATGTGTTAAAATAAAATAGAACCATGAATAGAAAAACAGGTAGGTTAGTCAAAAATCTGGATTAAACAATTTAATGGCAAAAAGCTTAAGTGGCAACACACTACCATTTGATCCACGGACTGGTATCATTCCAAAGCTGCAAGACCACTGCTCTAAAACAAACAATTTTTTTGAGAAATCTTCAAGATGAGATCAAATGAAGCCATTCTAAAATCAATAATAAACGAGTCCTGCACAATAACTTGAAGTTTCAAAATTACTGGCTATAAATATTATTTACCAAAATACTGTATTATGTGATGCTGTCACATCAAACATGAAAACAGGGGAAAACTATAGTCCAAATATCAGTTGACAGAAATTAGTATGATTCATAATTTTATTTATGTAAATAAGTTTCTCGTGAACAGAAAACAATGGAGAAAAGAAAGAACATGACCAAAGAGTTGCAGATACAAGTTCAACTCCTGAACAGTTCGTCACATCACACATATAACGAATATATAACGCTTACCAAGCTTCTTGGAAAATGTGCTTGAATAAGAAATCTTCTTTAACAATTTTCTTACATATGCCCTTAAGCCAATAGAAAGTAAAGAAGTGAAAACTGGACCTGAATATTGATAAAAATCAATTTGTTTCAAAACTGCTGAGAAACTGGGCATAAGTGCCTATGTTTACAAGCGTTCTTTAAAAAGTGAAAGCTTAGAACTTCACTAACTTAAAACATTAAGGGGAAAAAATCAATAAGCAAAAATGCTAAGCTTGCAGCTAAGTTTTATTCATTTCATTTTCTTTCTATTTTACAAAACACAAGACAATGCTAGATCAAGTTAATCAAGCTGCAGTATTTACAAATTAACATATAAAAATTATAAGTTATAAGCCAGTTTAATATTGTCATATATTAAACATAAAAAGCTATTTTAATAAACCCTATCAAATTTGCTTGTTCTCTGACTCAAGGAACAACTGCCTAAACAAGAAAGACAAGCACAAAATAAAGTTTCGAGTTTAAACTGATGCATATATAAAAAGTTGATTTCTTCAAAAGAGCAATATTAATCACCCTTAACATTCATTAGACAATAGTCAAAAAGATATTACATGGTGCTGGAAGAAAAATGTAAAATGCTCACTTTTCAATGCAAGGGAAGCTTAAGAAGAAAAAAACTGCTTTTAATTTTAAGTATTATTCCAATAAAAAAATATAAACCACTCCAAAAGGATTAACTGATATTTTTTTTTAAAAAAAGCATGATAAAATATCCATTACCTGCAAATAAATTGCAGAAATCTTTTAAAATTTATTATAAATAAAGTGGGATTTCTGTTTTATTTTAAGTTATATCAGAAATCTACAAACAATGCATATGAGAGCATTCCTAAAAACCCCCCAATAGGTAAAGAATGTAACACTAATCATAAAATAAGGCATACTTAACATCAAGAAGCAGCAATATAGCAAAACTTGGTACTCACTCTTGTGCTCCGTCTAAAAAAAAAAAAAAGAGGATAAAACTAAGAATATGAATTAGTAAAAAGAGTATGTTGCATTTTAAAATCACAAAATAAGACTTTTCTATCTATTCAAATTTAAGTAATCACTTTATAATGATAGAAATGAGACACCAGTGTCAGGAGAAAAAAACACTTAAAATAAGTACAGACCCAGACTGAATTTAAACATATAAATTTCATGATCCAGGGGAGACACCTTAATTTCGGGGTGCACAACATGCGCCTCGTGGGAGCTTCTGAACGCAGTGAAAATTTTGTTAGAAAAATAAAAAATCAAACATTTTGTACTGGACATTTGAGTTACTTATTAATGCATTTGTGTTTACACTGATTCTACTGTAAGTCTACATGGTTTCAAAAGACCCAATATTTTTTATACAATATGCAAATTTCAAATTAAGAGTAATTTTGGTAGCCAATTTCATCAAATCTAAGTAATGTTTCGATCGCTTTTCGGCATTTCTAACAACCCATTTCCATATGGTTCTTAAGATTCTGCTACATTACGATTTGATAAATTGTGCATTTAATTGACTATCGTTTGCGTACTATTTTGTGATGATTGCATTGTAAATCCAAGTTGCCTTTCAATCATTTTTTTGGTAGTTTCTGCAATGGTTTCTCAGTTTGGAAAGCTCGCAATTGAGATTCTAAAACAACCAACTCAGTTGCTGTGAAGATTCAGTTGTTGAAATTATCAAATTTCATTTCTACAGATTTTATTTTCAGTTCTTCAACTTTAATCTAGCAGGTGTTGGGACTACAAATGACATTTCTTAGCATGAAGTCATATTTCACTTTATGTTTATTGCTTGTAACTATTGCAAACAAGTTGTTAAACTGTACATTCTTCTTATACCCCTCTCCCCTTTCTCAGAATTGCTCTGATCTTTGACGAATATTGCAAAATATATACAGAACTAATTTCCCAAAATCGAAATATTTTACTACGCCTTAATTCGTACATCTAACAGCTGTTAGAATAGTAATCAACAAAATATTAAATTTTTTTTTACAGTACTTTATGCTTTAAGGTGTTATATCTTAAAAGAATACTTCAATTAGAACAAACAAAACAGGTTCAAAGCATTAAATAATGAAACCTTAAGGACAAAGTTTAAAGTGATATAGCTTAATAATCTACTTTAAAAATATCTATTATTGAAACATACCTTTTGTATTTTTTGCTTTCCTTCTTCGCCACTAAGCTAAAAACAAAAAATATTATGAGAAAATATATAAAACAAGCAAAGACAATTTTCTACTACATTTATAAGAATCTAAAATCAGGTTTTGTCAGTATATCTTTTTTTAAAAACAATTCATAAGCCTTTATATTCAAAAATGGGATAAATTGTAAGTGGAATAACTGTTGGCTCTGAAACTCGTTTTTTTTTTAAAAAAAAACTTTTTTCTGTGGAAAAAAAAAGAAAAGACAGAAATAAAAATATTTTTAACATAAGACATACCCTCCAACTGCTACGGAATTTCCGTAGTTTCAGAAATCTTTTCAGACGGTAGCAAAATCAATGTCTTAATATTTAAAAAAAATTATTTTTAGCGTAACTTTTCCACTATTACTTATAAAAGTGCAGGCCATATGGCTAGATTCTTAAGTTCTGATAAAAGTTTTATGAGAGATCCATTTGCTTTAAAAATTTCTACTTTGGTTTGCTACCACTAGAAAGAATTATTTTCAAAATCTTCATAAGTTGGAGGGTATGATAAGACATGGAGATTACAGCTGATTTTAGTAATCACTTCTCTGTGTAATTATGTTTTTATTTCATAATGCAAAAATATCACTCACATTTTATATGTTAATATAATGGCACTCAAAATTTTCATTTTGTCCTGTTAAGGGGCAGATGAGATTGGTGTTAAATGTGAAAGCAAAAGCTTGGAAATACTAATATATTTCTAATAAGTAAACAAGTAATGGAGTGGTCATTTTTCTCCTTGTCTAGGGCTGGAGAGAGAGCGGTTGAGAAGCATTAACAAGGTTCAGTAGCAAAAAGACAAGTGATGAGAGTGATGCTGACTTCATTTCATTTGTAAGTTTCATAATTGGATATCAATGAATCTTTTTCTTCTACATTGAAATAATTTTATAATGTTTCCCCTATGTAAGTTGTAGGGATGTAACAAATATTCGGCCCAGCCGAATACTGAAGTTATTCGGCCGAATAATGAAGCTTTTATATTTAACAGTAGTAATGAGTTCTTATTTTAAATAAAATATATAAATCACAAGTATAATTAGTTAAGATATGCTATTATTAATTATTTAGATTTGTGAAAGCCTTATCGTTGGCATCAAGATATTTAAAATATTACAAAAAAATACATCAAGTTGTTAAATTTTTTTTTAAATATAGAAAGTTTGAAAAAGCAAATTCTTTAATATTTATTTCATTTTTAATTTAAAATTTGAAAATTATTTAAATACAAAATTAAAATTTCAAAAGTGAAACTTTTTAAAAAGTTCTTAATTTTCTGGGTTTTAATAATTTTTCTGACAAAAAAGAAAGTTAAGAATACATTTAACAGTAGTAATGAGTTCTTATTTTAAATAAAATAGCAGATAAATTACAAGTATAACTATAACTAAAATATGCTATTATTAATTATTTAGATTTATAAAAGCCATATTGCCTTGTTATTGGCATCAAGATATTTAAATTATTAAAAAAAAAAATCAAGCTGTTAAATTTTTTTTTAATATACGAGAATAAAAAAGCAATTTTGTTAATATTTATTTCATTTTTAATTTAAAATTTGAAAATTACTTTAATTACAATCAAAAGAGACATTTTTAAAAAGTAAGTATTCGGCCTAAAATTTGGCCGAATATTCGGTATTCGGCTCCATCACTAGTAAGTTGTACTTGAGGGGTCAAGCTACTTTGGCCCCATTCCAGTTTTGACAACATTCATCCTCTCACTGGAATCCCCACTCCTTTAACAAAGCAAAAATTAAGAATCTTAAAATAGTATGATTGTTCATCATCAAAAATACATGTCACCAGTGACAGTGCCAAATTTTTACCTTTTGTAAAAAAGAAAATTAAAAAAAATAAAACAATTTTTTAGTGTAAGTACTGATAACCCATTAACTTGTGTGCTCGAGTTAATTCGAGAGTGCTAACAGGCCAAACTGTGCACACTCGAGATAATTCGAGAGGCATTGTATTTTTATGCTGCTATAATTTTTCACTCTAATTGAAAATAACAATGTGAAAGTCTAGAAAAAATTAGTTTTATTGATATTTATCATTTACATAGGATTGTATATGACACTTATTTATTTAAAAATAAAATATAGCCTTTTTCCGTGGAACAAAAGAGCAGTATATCAAAATTGTCCACCAAAAGAAAAGACAATGTTCATAAGTTTTTTTTATACTATTAGAAAATTGATTTTTTTGGCAGATTTTCAAAAAAATCTGGGTTAAGGGGTTAACAAGGCTCGCCAAAAGTAGGATCAGGCAATTTTTGCAAACCTGGTTTGTTATGGGTTAATTATTCAGATTGTAAAGGGTTAACGACATGAAACTAATCTGTATTTCCTTTTTATAGATTTCATTGAAACTGAATTGTAAAATTAAGAGCCAGGGGTCTGTCTAGGTTTTTCTGAGAGGTGCCTATTTTGTGAAAATTTAGACATAATTTGTGAAAAATTAAAAGTTATATTTAAAAATCAACACAAAAACATAGTAAAAATATAGATTTATCGTTTCTTAAGGGATACAAAAATAAAATTTTGAGAAAAAGTATTTTGTGAAACTACCGTTTTTCTTAAAATTGAATTTGTAAAACTACCGTTTTTCCTAAAGTTGAATTTGTGAAGGTACCGCTAAACGGTAGTAAATTCGGCCTGGACAGACCCCTGAGAGCAGAAATTAAAATAAGCAATTTTTATAGTGTGACAATTTATAGCAAACTGCCAGCCCCCTTATCCACATTCTTTAAGAATGCTTCACTCTCCTCATAGAGTATCATTCTAGGCAAAATATATTAAGGAAAGAACCAATATATTAATGAAAGAACATGTTTTATCCCTTTTGCTTGCATAGCCCCCCCCCCACACACACATCCCTTTAATTCCAAAAAGTGCTTTGCTGCCAAATCTCAAACTAAGTACCTTGGTCATTTCATCTGGAAAACCTCAATCTTGAGAAATTCACAGCCAGCCAAAATCCTGAAACCCCTAGGACGAAAATAAATTGAGAAGCTTGCTATGTTTAATTACTACAGAGAATATATCATATCCTTTGTTATGCAGAAATCACCTTATAAACTCACAAAGAAAAGAGCACCTGAAGTACTGAAATGAAACACACAAGGAAGCTTTCGTTGAGCTTAAAAATTTCAGTCTAGTCTGTCTAAGCTAAGTACTCATGCCCCCAAAATGTCTGAGGACGTCTGGTGCTATGGAAACAAGAATGGCGCATCTTAGATAGGGCAACTTTGATGATAGCTTGAATGAGAAGTATACCAGATTGGCTGACTCAGTCACCAGTAGAAGACTTATTTAATCTGATTCAAGAACTTTTTTTAAGATTCACATGGATATTTCTTTTTTTACTTGAAATGATTCTCTTTACCCAATCGGTTGCTATTTTTTATATAATAATAAAAAAAATTGAACAAATTCTGCCATTAAGGGTAGTGCAGGTTTTTTTTCCCTGTTACTTTTTAATTTTGCGCTATTTAATACGAATGTTCATTAACTTATAGATGGTTAAATTTCTAAACTTGCACATTTTTTAAAGCAGTTAATTTATTTTATTAGTTGAATTTTCTGGTAAAAGTGAAGCGCTTAAACTTTCTAACTCTAATTTAAAAAGAAGCTAAAACTTTTGCTGAAAATAAAAATAGTTTATGTCACCTATGCCAGAGAAATATTAAATATTTTTTACTTTTCTTTTGTTGACAGAAAGCAAGTTACCACGCAACTAGCATGAAATCTTAAACTATCAACGATAATTTTTATCAACCAGGGGTCTGTCCAGGCCGAATTTACTACCGTTTAGCGGTACCTTCACAAAATACTTTCTCTTAAAATTTTATTTTTGTATCCCTTAAGAAACGATAAATCCATATTTTTGTGTAGATTTTTTAATATAATTTTCAATTTTTCACAATTTATGTCTAAATTTTCTCAAAATAGGTACCTCTCAGAAAAACCTAGACAGACCCCTGTCAACACCCATCAAACCATCTGAAGTTATCTTTGTTTTTTTTTAAAAAAAAATTATGCTTTCTAATTCTGGTTGATAGAGGTAATTTAAGGGCTTTTTCCTTAGCTTCATTAGCATTGTGCATAATTTTACGTGGATGTAATTTTAAAACTCTACCTTTTTTTAATTTAAAAGGCATTTCGCAAAATTCAAATAAGTAAAAGGATGAAAAATAGAAAAAAAACTTACAAAAATAAATGTGAATTTTTTTTTTCTAAAATAGAAGCTTTTGATAAAGAGAAAGATAAAAAAATAGGGAATCAAATGCTCTAAACAATGCTTATTTCTTCTTCACTCTAGGCATAACACAACAGACCGTAGAAAGAGATCCCTTTCTCTCGCCCAAACGACTCCTAAGCAGTGACCCCGCACCCCTACTTGAAATAGTCACAGACACAGGGGGAAGACTTCCGTATTGTGATCTGTGGCGAAATAATCGTCAAGTCTAGGAAACTTCCGGGCAGTGGCCAGTGAGAAACTTAAAAAAAAAAAAAACATCACAGAAAGGGACCAACTCGTAGCCACCCCTGGAAAAACATCTACATGTTTCTTTTTTTAAAATTTGCAAGTTTAAAAACCTATTTGGCGATTGAAGTAGGCACAAAAGTACGAAAATATCCCCGCACACAGGTCCAGACGAAAGTCTGGAGTACTTATTTTAGACAAACGGTACATACACTGACAAAAGACTTGCCATTCATTATACATTCTGATGCTTCTTAAATAGAAAAGGATAGCAAGTCTGGCTCAACAGAGTAGTGAGAAAGAATATAAAATTTTTTTCGCAAGTCAGATTCTTTCCTTAATTCACAAACATTAGAATAAGAAGCATACGCTATTGTTTGGGATCTAATTTGAATATTAGGTATTTGGTTCCACCATCACAGTAAAAATACAGAGCTGGGCACTTTCTCTTTAAAAATATAATGTTTAAGTAGTCCATTGTCTAGGGTCAAGATTGATTGCGGAGTAAGAGGAATTGACCAATTTATAATTAAGAGTAACAAAATTCTCCACTAATTTTCCGCTTATCATACATGTCTGGCTATACCTATACATACAAATAAATAAAAAAACTAGAAATGGCCACTAAAAAACAAATGAAACCAACAATAAGCAGGAGAGTATACAATAAGCATTAAGTAGATCATTTTTATAACATTCTCAGAAAAAAAAAACAGAGATTTAAAATTTTAATCTACCTTGATATTTCATGAGCACACATATAGCAGAAAGAAATTGAAAATTGCTAAAATTATATCTAAGAGGACTCGAGAATATTAAAACTTTTCTTATTACACAATATGGTGAACCCTACTACTTGAAGTTGTATTATTTTTTTCAGTGGTAGTAAACTAAAGAGTTAAGCATTTGTCTGTATGTACTTTAAAAAGTGGTGTACAAAACTTCTTAAATTCTTATTTATAAAAATCTTAGTACACTACCCTTGGATGAAATATTTTGTGCAACAATGGAGAATCCACAGCAAATGAAGACTACTAATATCATGAAAAACAATATATCAGAGGAAAAGATTTATTACTATCTAAATATCTGAGAGTTCTCGTATGTGGCTAATTTGTTACTTTCAACTAGAACGTAGAGGATAAGCTTTAAAAGTTCATCGAAACTATAATTAATAGATAACCTTTAATACTTCTTTTAGCAATGCCAAGTTAATACTTTTGTTAACTAGGAAAATAAGTATAATAAGATAGTATTTCTATGATTTCATCAAAGCCGACAATACACTTTCAAACATGTTAATGCATCAAAGCGAACAATACAATCACACACATGTTTATTTAAAATAAAACTACTTTAAGAACAAATATGATGAATTATGAAAATCTCGAAACAGTGAACTTCAACAAAAAAATTTGATAATAAGAGACATTTACATTTATGCCGTCATTTCGATTTCGTAATGTACATGCATACGATAGAATTCTATATTCCTAACAACACTTATCAGTAATATATATACAACACAGAGTTATAAGATAAAATAATTTCATTTTGCCTCGAAAACAACCATAAAGAATAAAATTACTAGTCAAAAAGATAGAATTAGAATAAAAACTGTAAGATGGCCGCCGTGAAATTTTACCGGCATCTTTGTACTTACCTCAGACGCCGACCTTTTTGCATTTAATTCAGATTTAGTATCACTGGAAATCTTGTCTTTATCAGCTAAAGCATCTTCTTTACGCTGTACGGAAACTTCGTTATTCTTGTCTGTACTCATTTTAAATATGAAATTAAGAGATAATTCTCGAGAGCTAAAAATCACTGACCACACACTCCAACTGCTGGTAAGAAAATGGCGCTTTTAGGAAGAATCCAATATGTCAATACCTATTACCATAAAGTAGAACTTTTTTATTTATAGCTTTATTTGCAATATAATGACTGTATTAATACTAAATAAAGTACTAGAAGTATTAATAGCTCATAAAAACCTGAGAATATTACAATTAAATAAAATTTAATTTTTATAATTTAATTGTAGTTGCCATTTTCAGTTTCAAATTTTTTTAATATTAATTTTGTTGTTGTTGTTGTAGTTAATTTACGTCGCACTAGAGCTGCACAATGGGCTATTGGCGACGGTCTGGGAAACATCCCTGAGGATGATCCGAAGACATCCAGTCGAAGACATCACAATTTTGATCCTCTGCAGAGGGGATATTAATTTTGAGAAATCGGATACAAAGAGAATGATCCCTCAGAGATCATAACAGGACAGATCAAGTCAGCAATGATGTAAAAGTAAAAAAGGCTGCCGAGACGTTATATGTTTCAGCTGTTAAATTTACATGAAGTTGTTATTGTTGTTGTTTATTTACGTCGCACTAGACTGCACAATGGGCTATTAGCGACGGTCTCGGAAACATCCCTGAGGATGATCCGAAGACATGCCATCACAATTTTGATCCTCTGCAGAGGGGATGGCACCCTCGCTTCGGTAGCCCGATGACCTGCACGCGAAGTCGAGCACTTTACGGTAGAACAGTTTAACGAGAACCAATACCGCACACCCTCGGTCCCTACGCAGACTGATCCAAGTGGTCATCCCCCCCTCCCGCACACTGACCACAGCTGGTGATGCTTGACTCCGGTGATCTGCTGGGAACCGTGTCTTAACGATCAGTCCACTTCGGGACACATAAAGTTGAGAGGGAAGTTATTTCTTTTGTAGAAAGAGTCTTCCACTAAATTAGCCCTGCTGCACCTGAGTCGCTTGAAACGATTATCTATAAAATTTAGAGTCTGATTGGTTCAATATATTTGCATCGACAGATCCGAATGCAGTAAGAATTCAGATGTCCATGTCCAAACTAATGTCACTAAGACCATTCAGGACTGTTATTTGACTGATCGTTAAGACACAATTCCCTGTAGGTCACATAAACTGGGCAGCGGTCAGGGAGCGTGTGGATCACCTTTTTGATCAGGCTGCGCCGGGACCGTGGCCAGAGCATAGAGGTGAAATACTGGGCCGGAGAGCAAGTAACCTTACGACAATCTTGTGTAGGAATTTTCTTTTTATTGTAACGAAAATGTTTGTACTAAAAATCTTTTTTCAATAAAGCAAAAATATTGCAATTTCAAATCCTTCATTCTAAAAGGGTAAAAAGTAACTTTTACCCTTTTAAAAAAACATTGTTTTCTTAGGTGGAAAAAAAAAGTGAATGGTAAATCTTGTTTTAATAATTGTATTATAGTTGTCATGATAATGTACACAGAAATACAAAGCGAAAAGCTTTTTCCAAGGAAACAAAATAATGCAAATACAAACCTTTTAGAAAAAGTATTAATAAATAATAAAAAAATCTTTTGGGGAAAAAAAATCATTCAAGTGAAAGCAAATAAACGAGTATTATACCAAATTTTTTTATTGCTTTCTAAAATCTTGCGAAAATCTTGTAAGGTTTTCAAGTAATCACTGATTGGATTTAAAAGGAAGGAACCATTTCTTGTCATTGAGCTATTTACGTTGGACACAGTTCAAACTACACGTTTAAGAAAATGGACACAGCTAAAATTTCGAGTTTATGAAAATGGACACAGATAAAAAAGCGTTTTTAAGAAAACGGACGTAGCATTTGATTTTGTTTTTCAAATTTCTCTTATAAAAATTATTCATTTGCTGAAGAATAAATAGATGAATGCAAATAAATTCGTGATTTTAAATCGTCTGTTTTCCTGAATGACCTTAGTTCATTTTTTTTTTAAAAATTAATATGTCAACAATTGTTTTTACAAGGTTTTTATGGATCTAATGAATTGATAATATTAGTATTAAAATTTTTGTTGTTAGAATTTAGATTTTTAAAATTCATTATATCGTTTTGTGTTCAGAATCCAAAAAGCTCGCCTAATAAATCGCAACTGTAATATACCATCCCAACTATTAAGTCCGAGACTTAATGGTTTCGATGTCGTGTGGTTAGTATGTTGTGTTAATTGGTTGGAATGCCGTTCCCAGAAAGCATGTAATCTTACGGCAACTTTGTGTCAGAATTTTCTTTTCAAAACAAAGGGATTAAAAATTATCTTTTAAAGCTTTTTCAAAAAGTATTGTCACTTAGGTCCATAATGCTGACGTCACATTAGCGATGGGATCAAGTTACATTGCCCATTAAAATTTTATGACAAGGTGAATTCTAGCAGAGCATGCAAGACTTTGCGAAAAGAAGCCTTATAATTACCTAGATTTAAGATTATTTTCACCTTGAGACTAGCTTTATTAAAGGATTTTTTCACGCTTGAAAACCCTAAGTCAACCTTGATTTAAGGTTTTTATATGAAAGCTTGTTTTCCAAGGTTTTGGAAGAGGGTAATGTGAGAAGAATGGAGCAGATTGTCATAGATCTCGTTTTAAGGTCAGAAGGTTTTCGCGTAAACCGCATAACAAACCTTTTTTGGTTCGCATTAAAAGGGTTTTGCTGAGTGAAAATAAACCTTATTTTGTTATCTGGGGTTCACATGCTGTGTCAAAGTGTTTCATAATGATTATGATTATGGTTTTAGTGTTTAAATAAGCAAGGAAAAGTAAGCAGGCAATTCCTCGTTTAGTTATTAAATTTGAGTTGAGCATTAAAAACGAGCATTTTTTGCAGCGTTCATTTTCTTAGACATTCATTTCAAGCCGTTTCTATTCTCTTAAACACGCATTTTGAGCTGCCTCCATTTTCTATTTACGCGTTCCGCATTGTGTTTATTTTCTTAAATACGCATTTGCAGCTGCTTCCATTTTCTGAAACAAGCATTTTGAGCAATTTTCGAATTAAAACATCACTAACGCTTTTCTTTGTTTGATGTCGCCAATGCTACATATTGCTTGACACGATTCTGTCTTCCACCAACTCAAAAGTTTCAGTTTCAAGTTTGTTTTTAAATAAGCACTGTAACTGGTTTTTCTTATTTTGTTTTAGTTAAACAAAAGATTTTTGTTAAGTTTAAAATTATTTCCTTCTTTGATAATAGTTTTTAGTAGCTTTAAGTAGGCAAAAAGAAGCCTTAAAAAGCAAAAATCCTTTAACACGTATTTTAAGCTGAATGCATTTTCTCAAACACGCATTGGTTCAGTGTCCATTTTCTTAAACACGCATTTTGAGTTGCGTCCATTTTACTAAGCACGCATTTTGAGCTATGTTCTGATAAAAATGCTCACCGAAGTTTCTTTTGTTTGTTTGTTGGCGCCAATGCTGCACATTGCCACGATTCAGTCACCCGTCAACTCAAATGTTTCAATTTTAAATTTGTTTTGTAACAAACGCAACGTATTGCTTATTCTTAATTTGTTTTACTTAAACAAAAGTTTTTTTAGTAAGTTTAAAGCTGCTGCCCTCTTTGATTGTTTGGTAGGGTAAACTAACCAGTGAAGGAACACTTAAGTTTCGCTTGACTTTTAAAAAATCATATTAATTTCAAAATTCGTAATTTTAGTTAAATGGCAGTGTCAACATATTTGTTACTAATTGCAAATTATGTAAAAAAATTGTAGAGAACTTACATAATATTGTTTTAAAGTTTTGGAGGTTCAAATAACAAGTAGTAAGAAGTCCAAGTGAAAGAACAGCTCTTACCAGTGAATGAACACCCAGTAAAGGAACACTTAATTTTGGTTATTTTTTAATGCTCTTTATGAATTTATAAGCCATACAAATATTTAAAAACAAGCCTATTCTTGAAATTATTACATATAAATACTTGGAAAATGTTAACTTTTTTTTGTAATCATGAATTGAAAATTAAAGTGTCTACATATTAACACATACTTTTCATTCACTGGGAAATTTATGCCCGGTAAAGGAACATGCCTGTTCCCTCACTGGTTAGAAGTTGTTTTTCGTATTTTTAACATACTTTTGATGCGGAACATCACTTAAAGTACGAGAAAATTAAATTTTATCTTTAATTTTCATTAACTTAGAAAAAAAAAACAGTAAAGGAACACTTGTTCCTTCACTGGCTTCTCATCGTTTGGTGATCCAGTGAATAAACACCCCCTTATCTCCGTTTTTTATTATGCTATGATGCTTAAAAAAAATAAAACGTAACTTCAATAACTATATTTTGAATTCTCTTTTCCACAGTGAGAAAAATAAAATTATTACATGCAATTAATTCCACTTGAAACATATAAATACAAACACTCACCTTATAATTTTTTCAAAGAAACAAGATGTTGCGGAGATAATAACAAATTCAAAATTTTTTCCAAAGAAGTCTTTTTGAACAGGTAACCCAAAACATTGTTAGATGACTTCCTATTGTTTGGCAGTAAGCTATTGTTACCAATCAATCTAAAGAAAAACTTTCAACTTCTTATTTTTAATCAATATATATGAAATGTTCCTTCATTGGTTGGTTTACCCTAGTTTTAAATAGGCAAAAAGTAGCCTTAAAAGACAAAATAACGAATCTTGAAAGATTCATGAAGTAAATGAACATTGAAAAGTGTTGAAATATAAAGATTGACTTTTACAGTTGCGTAAAGTTAGCCCCCGAAAATGAGTAAATTTAAATATTCAAACTGCATTCATTTAACCACTTTTTGACCTAAAAAAAACAAAAACAACAGTACGATATTTTTTTACCACCCTTATTTCGGACATAATCCTAAAAAACAAATTCGGGGGCTAACTTCGCACTTTTAAGCCAATGAAATAAAAATCCAAATTTTGTACTGTATTAGTTCCACCAGACCACAAAAGATCTGTTTTTAGTTTTTTCACCACCTTTAATTTAGTTGTAATCATGAAAATAAGGTTTGGAGGAAGCGTGAAGTTAGTCTTTCTTGGAAGCATCTAGATATTCTTTCTTGGAAGCATCTAGATATTCTTTCTTGGATAAAATGGAAAATCTTTTTTTAGTGAAGGAGCATCTGAAACACATTGGAAAAATATTTCTAAGTAAACAGAAAAAAATATGTATCTGATCTTCTTATTAGAGTTTAAACCTAATGCTTGCGAAATAGCTCTGCTGAATTTAATTATCTAATATGAAAGGTCTATTTAAACTTTACATTCCATACTTTTCTGGATCATATTACTTCAAACATTAAAATATGCAAAAAGTATACAGAAAC